TATAATATTTGTTATGGTGATCTGTGATCAGTAATCTTTGTTATCATATTCCTCCTCCTCACAAAAGGCTCAGATAATGGTTATCATTTTTTAACAATAAGATATTTTAAATTGAGATATATACATTGTTTCTTTAGAGATTTTTGCTATTGCACATTTAATAGACTACAGTTTAGTGTAAACCTAACTTTTATGTGCTCTAGGAAAACAAGAAATCTGTGTGACTCTCTTTATGTTCATATTCACTTTATTGTGGTGATCTGGAACCAAACTCACAATATCTGTGGTGTATCCCTTATATACTGTTTGTTTGGTCTACTGAGGAGCAGGTTTCTCAGTAGAAAAGAATTTCTCAGCCTGAGTGGGATATTTAGCTGTCCTGTGGCATCAAGTGCTCGCAGGTAAATTATGTGCTCTGGAGTCAGTCTCCTAGATTACTCACATTGAATGTGTGTGTTCTCTTCTGCTAGGTACTGTTTGGTGTCTGAGCAATGCTGGTGGAGCCTCTAGTGTTAGGACCTCTGGTCAAAGAGGCCATTAGGTTGGCCTGGAAAAAGAAGTTAGCACCACATTGATTATAATAATAGGGCTGCTTTCTGATTGTATGATCTGTTTCTTTCTTATGGCAGATTAGTACTCCCAGCTTTATATAATTAGAAACAGTAACTGATTTTTCTGTTGGAAAAAAAATACTGTACAATTGTGCTGGTTTATCTACATAACAGACTACTCCAAAGCTTAGTGGTTAAAACAGTGATTTACTATATTTCATTCTTCCCTGGATATAGTGAGGTCAGTTGGGCAGTTTCACGTAGGGTTTATCATTCTGTTGTAGTCACATGTTGGTGGAAATTGTACTCTTCTGAAGGTGTAGCTTGGCTAGACGTGGCATCTGACATGGCTCACCCCCACAGCTGAGATGGCTTAGTGGATTGTCTCCTTGTGGCCTCTTCACATAGCTTGGTCATTTCACAGCATGGCAACTGGATCCTGAGAGGCAACCTCCCAAGAACGTGTATTCCAAGAGACAGGAAACAGAAGCTGCCAGACTAGTTAAGGGCTGTGTCTAGAACTAGCCTACTCACTGCTGTCCCAGCTCACCACTGGATTGGTTAGAGCAGTCTTAGGGCCTGCCCAGATTTAAGGCTGTAAAGAAAGAGGTTCCAGGGGCTTCTCTGGCGGTGCAATGGCTATGACTCCACGCTTTCACTCAGTGGCTCAGGTTCAGTCCCTGACCAGGGAATGAAGATCTTTCTAGCTGCAAGGCACAGCCAGAAAAGGAAAAGCAAAGAAAGAAATGGGCTCCAGTTCATTCTAGGGGACTGTCAGATTCATATTTTTGCAGAAGAGCGCTTGGGGTGGGAGATATTGTTGTCATCTTTGGAAAATACAATCTGTTAGAAACTCTTGATTTAAAAAGATAAATAACCATGTAATGCCTTAAAAGAATGTATTAGTATATTCTTGCATTGATATTATATGCATGTGTGTGTGCATGTTTGTTATATAGATATTGTATATATGTGTATGTGAGTATATATTATGTGTGTGCATGTCTATATGCATACACATGTATATATGTGATATTTCAGTATCAATATACTTCATTATATGTGATTTAAAATAAACACAAAACTACTTTTAATTAGTGGCTACAAAGTCAAAACCATCTAACAGTTGAGCCATCTTTCCCCTGACAATTTGTTACCACTCTCTATGAAACTTTTTTTTTAATATCTTTTCTTCTATTCTCAAACCTCTAACACCCCCTCCTACTCTACTCACTCTCAGCTGGTGACCTTGCTTTTTATTTCCTTGAGAATAAAACATCCAAAGGGAAAGTTTAGTTCTGTCACCAGATCTCCTGACTACTGGTGCTTTTCCTTTCTGTGACAATGGAATATCCTGCTTAAGCAAAATCTCCCCTTTTAACCTGGGACCCATCTCTTCTTGACAACTCAAGGATTTAACACCTGCATCATCAAATTTTTTCCTCTACCAGATTATTCCCTTCAGCATACAAATAGCCTAAAATTGTGTTTTGTTTTTAAAAATCCTGCCCGGTGGCTCAGATGGTAAAGAATCTGCCTGCAATGCAAGAGACCTGGGTTTGATCTTTGGGTTGGGAAGATCCCCTGAAGGAGGAAATGGCAACCCACTCCAATATTCTTGCCTGGAAAATTCCATGGACAGAGGAGCCTGGTGGGTTACAGTCCACGGGGTTGCAAAGAGTTGGACACAACTGAGCAAATAACTCTTTCCTAATAGCACAACCCTGTTTTGCTACCCCATTTCTCTGCTTCCAGTTAGTGAGAGTTCTACAGAAGTGTTGTTTGTGCTCTGTCTCTATTCCCTCCTTTCCCATTAATCTTGAGATCACTCTAGCCATTCCATCAGTGGCCAGTGGTGGCCACCACAGTGCCAATAACAGTGGCCAGTTCTCAGTCTGTATTTTATGTAACCTTTCAGTGCATATAAGGAAGTCTTTTAACTCCTGTTTTCTATACTCTTGCTTTTCCTCTCACCTCACTGCTTGCTTCTTAGTTTCCTTTGCTAGATTCTCCTCACTTTTCTGACCTCTAAGTGTTGAAACTCAGTGTCAAACTTAGCATGTCGAAATTGAACCTTGTTTGCCTCTTCCAGGCCTGCTTCTGGGTCTAGGCAAAAATAATGATCCTTGTCTCCATTCATATCTTACATCCAATCTTATCAGCAGATATTGACAGCCCTAACTGCAAAACACATCAAAGTTCCAAACTCTGAAATGTTTACCTTTACCCTTCTTACCTTTGTCCTGTCAGCCATCATGTTGTGGATTGTTGGAATAAATAGTTTCCTATCTGGAACCCCCACTGTCTCTTTGCACAGAGCACTCAGAGTAATGCTTTCAGGACTTGTTTCATATTGCATTACTTTTCTGCTCCAAATCTCCAGAGGCTTCCAGTATTGCCAGGAATAAAAGCTAAAGCCCTTAACATAATTAACAAAGACCCCGCCTAATCCGGTCCCATGTTGCCTCTCACTGCATGATCACCACTTTCCCCCATGTTCACTTTCCTTCAGGTGCACTGATCTGTTTATTCTCTGAATATGCCAAGTCTCCTTCCACATTGAGGCATTTGCTCTTGCTGTTTCTCATGTCTGTAAATTTTTTTTTTTCAGTTTTCTTAAGCGCTGTCACCATATTTCATTCAGGTTTCTACTTAAAGTTCAGCTCTCAGAGAAGCCTTTCCCTGACTATTCCACCTGAAGCAGTACCTTCTCCTGTTCCCCAGCCAACCCACCCTTGGTCACCCATTGTTCCTGTTCTGCTTTAATTTTTCTTCTTAGAATTATGTATTTGTAAATGAGATATTATGTATATCTCACCACCATTATGTATTTGCCTATATGGTCTGTGTCTGCTCTCTAGAATGAAAGCACCATGAGTGTAGGGACTTAGGATCACAACAGTGATAGCACTCAGCAGGTGCTCCATAAGTGTTTGTTAACTGAGTGAATGAATAAATGCTTATATGTCTGTATAGTGGGTTGTTGCATATGGCTTGATGGATAAGTATTAATCCTAGCTTATTTTAAATATAGACAGGTGGCCCTGATTTGTCAAAAAGAAATGCATGCGCTGGAAGAAAACAGCACATTGCCACTCTTGCTTCAAGCTCTGAGTTTTGCAGATGCAATTTGCTTAGGCTTTGTTGTTTTTGAGCTGGCGAAAATTTGGGTCCTGTCCATCTGCCAGCATTGTGTACCATCAGGGTGCTTAACTTTTCTTCAAATGTTCATTGAGTAAAGAAAGAACAGCTTGATGTAGTTAGAGTGGGTGATTACTAAGGTCTTCTATTAATAGTTAAAAATAATTTCTCTTTAAAATGGACCGTTATAAATCTAATGCTCCATTAGATGATTTCTGAGTAGCATGTTGTTCCAAACATTGTAATCATAAGATTAGGGCTACTTAAAAACATCAGCTGATTCTACTAATTTGTAATTTACTTTTTATAATTTTAATTATAAATTTATTTATAGCCAACTTATTTTGAATCCAGCTTATTTTGGCAAGTGTCTCTTTAGGGGAAATCCCAGATAGAGACTTTACTTACACTATGGTAAAGATTGATCTGTCCTTAAAAGCGTTCTTTTGGACTAGTTACATTTGAGGAATTTTAATTATCATATAAAATTGTGCTTTTCTGTAATAGAAACAGGAATCAAAAATTCCAAAATCAAGATTTCACTTCTGAGCAAATAGAACTTGAGTTTTTAAACCTGTGTTCTTAAATTAATCTTTTTGATAAGCATCTGTGTACTATCATAGCATTTACAGTTTTTACTTGTAAGGTTAAAAGCACTGTGATGTCCATAATTAAGTTCATTAAGATGTTTCCACTTAACTCTTATAAAGGTGAGACTTTTTATTGATCTGAAAAGAGTAGAAATCTGTGACACTGGGGATGCATACTGTTTTCAGAAGCTAATTAAAACTAAATGAGGCCTGGAAACCTGGAATGAATCTCACTCCAGAGACTGTAACTTTATGTTGGAGCAGTTCCTTCAAAATAGGGCAAGTGATTCTCTTCCTCCCTCCCGCAACTTGAGTATCCTTCTGGAGAAACCAGAGATGTTGCTGGATGGTTGAAATCTTCCTTGTAACATACAAAGTAGCTTCTGTCAGTGAAAACCTCTCTAAGCTTCTGTGTTTCTTTTTGTTGTGATTGAGTTTAGTAACTTACTGGAAAATTAATAGTCCAGGATAGAGTAAACAAATGGCATTTTACATGAACCAGGTCAATTATGTTGTTAGATATCACTTTATAGAGATTTTTAGACAGTGGGAACTAAGGGCGTTAAGATTCTTAAATAAGCTTCATTCTACATTGCCTTTTATTTTTTAGAGGTTCAGAGAATTGAGCACTTTTAATAGTTTAACCGTTTCTCTTTTTTTTTCATTCCCTTTCCATATCCCTTTTTTATTTCACCCAACACCAAAAATGCCCTTTCAGAAACATAAAGTAGATCTTTTCTACAAGCTGCGCCATGTGATGAATGAACTTATTGACCTTCGAAGGCAGCTCCTGTCTGGTCACCTGACTCAGGATCAGGTGCGGGAGGTTAAGCGGCACATCACCGTGCGCCTGGACTGGGGCAATGAGTAAGTATGAATATCATTCAGGCATCTCTCAGTTTCATTTATGATAACTCAGTCCTTATGGAGTTTGTACCTAATCAAAGCTTATCTTTAGGAATGAAAAGACATGACTGTATTCGCCACTAAGCTTTGATCATTTTTACAGTGAGTAGTTGTTTCTTTTACTTTATAGCAAAGGATATTCACTGGTTGGTTCTACTCACTGAAACTCTGTCAGTCTCTATTTTCACTTCCAGAAAATTAAATAATTGGACTGCATTAGCCTCTGGGGTTTCTTTCAGCTCAAATTCCTTGGTAGTAGACCCCAGTAATCAGAATACTCTTTTGTTTCATCCTTTAGTACCTTTTAATTTCTTGTGAATTTAGTGTCCTTTACATCTTATAGTCATATAATGAATTCTGAGTAAGCATATACTACAAACAGGAGCTGGCTACATCTGTACTTCAGAATATTCTTAACTAATTATCATTCAGAAATAGTCCTGTATTTATGCAGTGGGTATGCTTATTTGCTATTGCCATACAAGTAAAATTATAAGACTTTGACATGGGAAGCTAGAGTAGATAGTACTCAGGTTTTATTTCCTCCAGATTTAATAATTGATATAATTCTCAAATGCTTTTGTCATTTTCTCTTAAAATCGGGCCCGTTGAACTTTGAAGTGACTAGATTGCTTCCTATTTAAGATATACATATACCTAAAAGTATATTTTAGAACGAGTGTTTAGCTCCTCTCCTCCTCAAGACATGATTGAAATGATTAAAAAAATAAATAAAAAGAATAGGAGAAGCCCAGCAATAAATGGGAAATATGAGCCCATTTCTAGAAGCTAAAAAATAGATGGAGGATTAGTGACAGAAGAAGCCTATAATATGGAGGAAACCTTAGCTAATGAAAGAGCTGGTCTACCTTGCAGCTGCTAGAATCATGAAAGAAAGGGAGTGTGTGCTAGAGCTTAAAAAAGGAGGGGCTTAAAAGTATGTAAAGTAATAGTTCACCGCCATGAGTGGAAAGCCTGGCAGCCAGCTGTTTCCCCTTTAGATGAATGAAGACCAACTGCCTAGTGGGAAACTGGGCAACAAAAGTTTGAACTGGGACTTTATTGGAAAGCCTTCCATTGTGAGGCATTTAAGGGTTTCAAAGTATAATGACCAGATCCCTTCCACCTACCAGAAAGAGAAACTTGCTAGCCATTCACCCATGTATAATATCTCTGCATGTCTCTTGTGCCTTTTCAGAGAAGGCAATGGCACCCCACTCCAGTACTCTTGCCTGGAAAATCCATGGACGGAGGAGCCTGGTAGGCTGCAGTCCATGGGGTCGCTAAGAGTCGGACATGACTGAGCGTCTTCACTTTCACTTTTCACTTTCATGCATTGGAGAAGGAAATGGCAAACCACTCCAGTGTTCTTGCCTGGAGAATCCCAGGGTCAGGGGAGCCTTGTGGGCTTCCGTTTGTGGGGTCGCAGAGTCGGACATGACTGAAGTGACTTAGCAGCAGCAGCAGTGCCTTTTAAATTTGAATGGACAATCGAGTATTACCAGGTATTTGAAGAAATACTTTCACAGGGAAGAAAGGGAGATGAATAAAATATCTGGCCCCAGAGAGAGCTTGAGATTAGCAAAGAACGTTAAAAATTCCTGAGTATCCTCAAAGAGAATCAAGAAGATTCATTATTATAAAATGCTATGAAAAAGGAAGAGAGAGTAGGACTTCAAAAAAGAATTCAGGAAGAGAACAGGAAGATAAAATTTTTTCCTTCTTTCCCAGAATACTGAAATATCTTTTTAAAAACAAGTTTATTAACATTAGCTTCCCTGGTGACGTCCCTGGTGACTCAGATGGTAAAGAATCTGCTTGTAATGCAGGATACCTGGGTTCAATCCCTGGGTCG